CCCACGGGGGGCTGCCCCGTCTCAGACCCAGCCCCGGGGTTCCCAGGCCACCCGGTCCCGGTTTCCCTCTGCTGATGCGTCCGAGCGCTGGACACCAAAGGACCCGGGGCCTGAGCGTCTGACCCCCTCAGACTCTTCCCTGGGGTCTCCGGGGCCGGGTGGGGTCTCAGCGCTGCTCACTCTGTCCAAAATCCTTCCCCCCAAGGGATCCTCCATGTTTCCAGATGTTTCCAGAACCTTCCCGTGGGATCCTCCAGTTATAGGGCCGACGGCATCACCCACAGAGCACTGGGCCGTGGGCTCCTGCTGACCCCTCTGTGCCCAGTTCCTTGCTGGGCCTGGCTCAGCGCCCACATGTGATCTCCAGTCTCTCTGATGCCGGGGGCCCGGCTGCCTGGGCACTGGGCACCCAGGGGCCACGCGGGGCAGGAGGGGCCCGGACCCCATGTCCAGTGCAAAAGTTCCAGACTCCTGTCTCTGCCCCCCGAGGGCCTCTGGCCCCTGTTAGAACAGTGGACACCCCCCCCCCCCAGGAAGCCTCAGGCTTGAGATCTCCTTTATAGAACTGTGTGTGTGTCTGTGTGTGTGTCTGTGTGTGTGCATGTGCATGTATGTGTGTCTGTCTATGGCTCTGTATCTGTGCCTGTCTGTGTAGGTCTATGTGTATGTCTCTGTGTGTCTGTGTGTGCGCCTGTGTGTCTGTGTGTCTCTGTGTGTCTGTATCTGTGTGTCTGTGTGTGTCTGTGTCTGTGTGTGTCTCTGTGTGTACCTGTGTGTGTCTGTGTGTGTCTGTGTTTGTGTGTCTGTGTGTCTGTGTGTCTGTGTGTGTCCATGTCTGTGTGTCTGTGTCTGTGTGTCTATGTGTGTCTCTGTGTGTGTCTCTGTGTATCTCTGTGTGTATCTGTGTCTGTGTGTATCTGTGTGTGTGTCTGTGTGTCTCTGTGTGTGTGTCTGTGTGTTGTGTCTGTGTGTGTCTGTGTGTATCTTTGTGTGCGTCTGTGTGTGTCTGTGTGTGTCTCAGTGTATGTGTGTGTCTGTGTCTGTGTGTCTGTGTGTATCTTTGTGTGCGTCTGTGTGTGTCTGTGTGTGTGTCTGTGTCTGTGTGTCTGTGTGTGTCTATGTGTGTCTCTGTGTCTGTGTGTGGTGTGTGTCTGTGTGTATCTTTGTGTGTGTCTGTGTACGTCTGTGTGTGTCTGTGTCTGTGTGTGTCTGTGTCTGTGTGTGTGTGTCTGTGTCTGTGTGTGTGTCTGTGTATGTCTGTGTCTGTACGTGTCTGTGTGTGTCTGTGTCTGTGTGTCTGTGTGTGTCTATGTGTGTCTCTGTGTCTGTACGTGTCTGTGTGTCTGTGTGTGTCTGTGTCTGTCTGTGTCTGTGTGTGTGTCTGTGTACGTGTTTGTGTGTGTGTGTGTGTGTGTGAATACTTCCTGGGTGGAAAGGGGTCACGGCTGGGAGAGGCGTCGGAAGCCTTGTCCCCGGGGCTGTCCATGCCAGAGAGCCCCCAAACAGCAAATGTGTCATTTCTCCCGTGGCAGCAGGGCCAGGCCTGTTCCCCTTGTGTGGGCACACGCGTGTGCAACTTACCACGCCAGCACACGGTCTTGGGTGACTCCTGGCACACGATGGGGTGGGGGGGACACAAGGCAGTGGGGGAGGACAGGGTGGGGCCACGGGAAGCTCAGCTCCTCTCTCGATGGCTCCCCCCAACTCCCAGAAGCCTCAGCCCCGGACCATGAGGGACAGTGAGCGTCTCTTCCAGAAGGTTCTTAAATGCTGCCTCGGGGGACTGGTAGGGAGCCATAGCACAGCGGGGAGGGCGTTGGCCTTGCACGAGGCTGACCCGGGTTCGATCCCCGGCATCCCATAGGGTCCCCTGAGCACCACCAGGTGTGATCTCAGAGCACAGAGCCAGGAGTCAGCCCTGAGCATCGCTGGGTGGGACCCAAAACCTCCCCCCACCAAAAAAAATTTTTAAAAAGGGAAAACATCTGGTTGAGGCTCAGCTGGGCCCGTGGGTTTGGGGCTGATTTGGGGAGACTGACTTGGGGGGACTGACCCTCGCCCTTGTCCACCCGTCTGAGCCCCCCACCCCCCAATTCCCCTCTTTGTACCCCCCGCAAGACGCCAGGAAGGGGCCTCATGGCCCCAGAAATAAAGGCCAGGGGAGGGGCCGCTGGGAAAGCTGAGCTTTCGAACTCCCCAAAGTGGGGGGCAGGTGGCGGATCGCGGGGTCTGGCCACCTGGGCGAGGGACCCTCAGACTCTGCCTGGGCCCTGGGCCGCGTTCCTGCGCGCGCTGGCCCCACTGGGCTTCTGTAGAACGTGCCGGGCCTGGGCCGTTGCAAGGGACAGGATTCTCCCTCCCTGTGCATCCTTGTTCTGGGACTCACAGGGCCCGTGGGGACCCTGGAAGCCTCTGACCTGAGCCTTGTCCCCAGTGCGGCTCCATGCGTGCAGTGGAAGGTTCTGGAAGCAAATGAACCGTTCTGTTTTGTGCCAGCCTGAAGCAGCACCCCCAGACTGAGTGACCCTCCAGACCCGCGTGCGGTGCAGCCAGGTTCCTGCACCCCATTCCCGGGCCACCTCCTTGGGTTACTGTGGAGGACCCGGGGGTGAGTCCCGCGTTGGACACGGGGGTGTAGGGGTGCATTTTGGCTGCGTCCCTGCAGCTGCTCGGCTGAGGGTCCAAGGAAAGGGTCAGGCCACAGCACAGCAGGGAGGGCCCTTGCCTGGGACACGGTGACCCAGGTTCCGTCCCCACTCATCATAGGGTCCCCCGAGCACCGCCAGGAGTGATCCCTGAGTGCAGAGCCAGGAGTCAGCCCTGATCATCGCTGGGCATGGTGAAACCAAACCAAATCAAACCAAACCAAACCAAACCAAAACAAAACAAAAAAAAAACCCGGGGCTGGAGCAATAGCACAGCGGAGAGGGCGTTTGCCTTACACGTGGCCAACCCGGGTTCGATTTCCAGCCTCCCATAGGGTCCCCTGAGCACCGCCAGGGGTGATTCCTGAGTGCATGAGCCAGGAGGAACCCCTGTGCATCGCTGGGTGTGACCCAAAAAGCACCGTAGCACCGTCTCGAGTGGGCCCAGTAACGTCTCCATTGTGAGAGACTTGTTGTTACTGGGTTTGGCATATCGAATACGTCACGGCTTTGCCATGCGGGCAAGATACTCTCGGTAGCTTGCCAGGCTCTCCGAGAGGGGCAGAGGAATCGAACCCGGATCGGCCGGGTTGGCCGCGTGCAAGGCAAACGCCCTACCCGCTGTGCTAAAATAAATAAATAAAAAAAATAAAATAAAATAAAAACAAAAAAACTGGTTGAGGCCAGAGTAGTTAGTACAAGGGAGGGCACCCGCCTTGCACACGTCCCCAGCATCTCCTAGAGTCCCATGAGCCCCGCCAAGAATGATTCTTGTGTGCAGAGCCAGGAGTTACCCCTGAGCATCGCTGGGTGTGGTCCCAAAACCAAACAAAAGGAAAAAAAAATTAAAAAAAGCAGCTGGGCTGTGGTAGAAGCAGAGATTTAAGGAGGAATTCTTCTCCCCCAGCTCATGAGACAGGATTCCAACTATGGGGGAGAAGGCGGCTGGGATGGAGAAGGGGTCACTGAGTCAGTGAGGGATGGAGGGGTCGCTCGGGATGGGAGGTGTGTGCTGAAAGTGGATAAAGGACCAAACCGGATGTCCTCTCAGTATCTGTATTGCAAACTATGATGCCCCAAAGTAGAGAGAGAGTCTGGGGGAGATTGTCTGCCAGGGAGGCAGGGGGAGGGTTGGAAAGGGGGGGTATACTGGGGACATTAGTGGTGGAGAATGTGCACTGATGGACGGTTAGATGTTCGACCATTGTATGATTGAATCTCAAACATGAAAGTTTTGTAACTGTGTCTCACGGTGATTCAATCACTGTCACTGTCACTGTCCTCCCGTGGTTCATCGATTTGCTCGAGCGGGCCCAGTAACGTCTCCATTGGAGACTTTGTTGTTACTGTGTCTGGCATATCGAATACTCTCGGTAGCTTGCTGGGCTCTCCGAGAGAGGCGGAGGAATCGAACTCGGGTCGGCCATGTTGGCTGCGTGCAAGGCAGACGCCCTACCTGCTGTGCTATCGCTCCAGCCCCCCCCCCAAAAAAAGACAAAAAAAATGGCTGGTGGTGGGAGGATATTGGTGGTGAAAAGTATACACTGGTGGAGGGGTGGGTGTTCGATCATCGTATGACTGAAACTCAATCGTGAAAGCTTTGTAACTGTATCTCACAGTGATTCGCTAATAATAATAATTTAGAAAAAAGCTGGTTGGGGGTAGCAGGGAGGGTGCTGGTCTTGCACACGGCACACCTGGGGTTCTATCTCCGGCTTCCCATCGGGTCCTCTGAGCACTGCCAGGAGTGATTCCTGAGTAATTCAGAGCCAGGAGGAACCCCTGGGCATCGGTGGGTGTGATCCCCCAAACCAAAAATAAATAAATAAAAGTGAGCGGAAGTGGCCAGTGCAGAAGCTGGTGTGTGTGTGTGTGTGTGTGTGTGTGTGGCCTGTCCCAGGCTGGAGACCCTCCTGGGGTTGTGGCTTCATTTGGAGGTGCTTCTGGGTGATACACACAAGTCTGCAAATATCCCCCACCACACAACCATCACGCACATGCCCAAGTCTTATGCTGAGTTGTGGCTGCGTGGGTCACGGGGTCAGGGTGGACGTGGCCTGCTCTTCCTGGCCGGCCCGTTACTGGGATGTACGTGAAAAGTCATGAAAACAAGCGGGACCCCCTCCCCCCCCCCCGCCACCGGGTCCCTGTGCCACCACACCCAACTGACGACAGGGTCTGTCACGCCAGGCTCTTCACGCCGCTGATTTTAATTTATTTCGTGGGTGTGGGCTCTCGTGGGGGGGTTACAACGCTCCGGCCTTGCTGGACTCTTGAACTCACCGAGGGCAACCACGCAGGCTCGAGCGGGAGGCCTCACTCACCCCTGCCCGTCCCTCCCTGTCCCCCGTGCCCACTGCAGGCTCGGGTTCCAGTGCCGACCGCAGACATGCGCCCTCCACCCGGGATCCGCTGCGCGCTGCTGCTGCTGCTGCCTTTGCTGAGCTCGGTTGAAGCCCAGGTCAACCCAGGTAACGGGGCCGCTGCCCAGCAGGGCGCTGGACGCCTCCCTAGCACCCCACCCCGGGCCTGAGCGATGTCCAGGTGATGGGCATCTCCAATGGAAAATTCCTGAAGAGCACTTGATAAGAGAGTGGGGTGGAGAACAGCAAATTACACACACACACACACACACACACACACACACACACACACAAAGGCCAGTGGTGGGCTGGAGCAGTAGCACAGCAGGGAGGGCGTTTGCCTTGTACCCTGCCAGCTCAGGTTCGATCCCCCGCATCCCATAGGGTCTCCTGATCACCGCTGGGAGTGATCCCTGAGCACAGTGCCAGGAGTAACCCCTGAGCACCACCAGGTGTGGCCCCAAAACCAAACAATCCCTTCCAAATACAAATGGTCAGTGGGGGGCTGGAGTGATAGCACAGCGGGTGGGGCACTTACCTTGCAAGTGGCCGACCTGGGTTCGATTCCCAGCATCCCATATGGTGCCCTGAGCACCGCCAGGAGTAATTCCTGAGTGCATGAGCCGGGAGTAACCCCTGTGCAATGCCGGGTGTGACCCCCAAAAAAGCCAAGAAGTTTTGTTTAAAATGCCTATTTTGGGGCTGGAGTGATAGCACAGAGGGTAGGGCATTTGCCTTGCACACGGCCGAGCCGGGTTCGATTCCCAGCATCCCATAGGGTCCCCTGAGCACCGCCAGGAGTAATTCCTGAGTGCATGAGCCAGGAGGAACCTCTGTGCACTGCTGGGTGTGACCCAAAAAAGCAAAAAAAAAAAAAAGGTCAGCGGAGGGTGGGGGAGATGCCCGAGCCCCCAGGGTCCCAGCCCCAGCACCTCCAGAAGTGGCTCTCACTCAAACATGGAGGGAGGGGGTCACACACTGCCTTGCGTGTCTTCCTGGAAACGGGAGAAGGGGTGTCGAGGTGGAGGCCGCCCTCTCTCCTGCAGAGATTGTTCCGTTCTGATGCCCGCCCAAGTGGGTGTGGCCATCTCTGTCCCCACTGCTGGCTGCATGCTGCCCAGGACCCGCACCCCACCACAGAGCTGGCAGCCCCCTGAGGGCCCACAGGTCTCTCACACAGGACACAGCAGGCTTGTGTTCGTGTGTTTGTGTGCCCTGGTTGTGGGAGATGTGGCAGACACTGCTGCCCACATGGGGAGAGATTTGTCAGGAGAAATCTAAATACTCCCCCCGCCCTTTTTAAAAATTTTTTCCTTTTTGGGTCCCACCCGGCGATGCTCAGGGGTTCCTCCTGGCTCTGCACTCAGGAATCACTCCTGGCGGTGCTCGGGGGACCCTCTGGGATGCTGGGAATCGAACCCGGGTCTGCCGCGTGCCAGGCAAACGCCCTCCTCACTGTGCTATGCTCCAGCCCAAGTGCTCCCTATCTTAACTTTTTTTAAACCTTTTGGTTTGTGTTTTTGGGGGCCACACCCAGGGATGCTCAGGGGGTCACTCCTGGCTCTGCGCTCAGGGATCACTCCTGGAGGTGCTCGGGGGACAATGTGGGTTGTCGGGCTCGAACCTGGGGCCGGCCCGGAGCAGGGCCAACGCCTTGCCCACTGTGCATCGCTGCGACCTGTGTTCTCGGGATGCACCTTCCAGCCCAGACACCTGCAGAGAGTCTGGTCTGGCTGTGCTGGGCCATTGCTGGGGCCCTCTGGGTCCATGCATCTCTCCGGGAGTCGCACCTTGGGCCTGATGACCTATGGGACACCTGGCGGAGTCCCCTCCTGACACAGGTTCTCAAGGGGATGCCCCAGAGCAAGGAAAGCCACTAGGACTCCTTTCCCTGACTCCTCATTGGCCAACTCAAGGCCACGCCCCATTGTCCAACTCCCCCCATTGGATAAGGAAAGGCCACGCCCTCATCGATCATCTAGATCTCTCATTGGCCAAAGCAAGGCCACGCCCCCATCAGCCAATTTCCCCCACTGGACGAAGAATGCAAGGCCACGCCCCCATTGCGCATGTACCCCTCATTGGCCAAAGCAATTGAACAAACATTTCTCATTGGCCAATTGTGAGGCCACACCCCCTCCATCGACCAAGCAACCTCATTGGCTAAGGTAAAGCCAAGCCCCTGTGGGCCAAATGCTTTAATTGCCCAAGGTAAGGCTACGCTCCTTTGAAACAGGCTCCTTATTGGTCAAAGTAAAGCCACGCCCTCACGAGACAAGCTCCTTATTGGTCAAGGTAAGGCCACGCCCCCATGCAGCAAAGGTCCCTCATTGCCCAAGGTTAGGCCACGCCTCTATAAAACAGGCTCCTTATTGGTCAAAGTAAAGCCACGCCCTCATGAGACAAGCTTCTTATTGGTCCAGGTAAGGCCACGCCCCCATGCAGCAAAGGTCCCTCATTGCCCAAGGTTAGGCCACGCCTCTATGAAACAGGCTCCTTATTGGTCAAAGTAAAGCCACGCCCTCATGAGACAAGCTTCTTATTGGTCCAGGTAAGGCCACACCCCTATGCAGTAAAGCTCCCTGATTGGCCAACATAAGGCCTCGCCCCGTCCTCCTGGGAGGCCTGCAGGGCTATTCTCCTGGGAGAAGGATGGAGTTTGCTGGTCTTGGGGTGAAGTGTCCCCCCCCAGGGGGGCCACGTGGTGGACTCCACTCAGTGCCCACTCGCTTCAGAAGCCGGCTGGAGAGACTGGGGTGTCCACCTAGGGCTCGCGGCCAGCCTGCCCCCGTAGAGTGGACAGTGCCCGTCCGGGCTTTGCTGCTGTCCAGTGTCTGTCCTGTGTCCAGGCTTGCTGTCCCTCAGTCTTCTGGATTCAGGGTGTCCTGGCCAGCTGGGGCGTTGGCTGGCCGGGCAGGGCTTGCCCACGTGGCAGCCTCTTGGGCCCTCTCGGTCAGCAGGAACTCTGAGGAGCTAAGCCCCAACCCCAGACTGTCCCCCAACTTGGCCAGCCCCGAGGACCAGCTCCGGACATGGATCTGGGCTCCCGTCCCAACTTCCAGCTTCGTGAATGTTAGGGACACGCAAAGAACCGACAGTGTTCTGTGTGCTTGGCAGGGCCTCGCGGAGTGACCGGCCCAGGGACGGCTCCAAGCCCTTGCCATGGGCTGTGACTGGTCACTTTTGGGAGAGAGAGCGTCAAGAGACCCCCAGTACCACCCACCAAGGGTTTCTGTCGTGCCTATGGGGAGGAGTCGCTGCTGCGGTTCCTGGCCCTCCAAAGTGTCCACTTGGGGACTCAGCTGTCCAGGCTGCAGGGGACCCAGGGACTGGGAGTGTCCTGGGGAGTGGGGGGGGTGGCCACTGGTTGGGGCCAGCTCTGCAGAGCGCGCAGGAGGGAGATGAGTTGTCCACGTGGTCTGAAGGTCACCGAGTGAAGCGGACCAGGGCTAGTGTTGGTGGGTGGGGGGCTGGGTCTGCCACAGCGAGGGTCTCAGGCTGGGGTGGGTGCTGGATTCCCACGCGCTGGGTACGTGTGTCTGCCCTGAAGCTGTGGGATGTCCACCTTCATTTTGTCAGCCTCAGACCCTGTTCAGCCTATCAAGGATGGGTCGCCAGGGTACCAAGCCCTCTGCAAAGGCTTATTTTTTTTTTTTTTTTTTTTTTGCTTTTTGGGTCCCACCCGGCGATACTCAGGGGTTCCTCCTGGCTCTGCACTCAGGAATCACTCCTGGCAGTGCTCGGGGGACCCTATGGGATGTCGGGGATCGAACCCGGGTCTGCCGCGTGCAAGGCAAACACCCTCCATGCTGTGCTATTGCCCGGGCCCCCAGTTCATCACTCTTTTTATTATTATTTATTATTTATTTTTTGTCTTTTGTTTTTTGAGTCACACCCGGCGATGCTCAGGGCTGACTCCCGGCTCTGCACTCAGGAATCACTCCTGGCGGTGCTCGGGGGCCCCTATGGGATGCTGGGGATCGAACCCGGGTCAGCCACATGCAAGGTAAACGGCCTCCCCACTGGGCTATCACTCCGGCCCCAGACCCCAGGATTTTGTCCCTTACTGACCTCCCAGGCTGAACCCGTGTCCACTCCAGCTCCCCACCTTTGCTCCGAAGCTCCCTCACCGTGAAGAGAGACTCTCTCTGCACCTCCCCAAACATCTCTCTCAGCTCCGCTCACCCTCAGGCGTGCGGTCAGCGGCAGCGGGACCCAGAGCCTGGTCACTTCCTGGCCGCCTTTTGCCGCGTCCGCTAGTGATGCCCTGTCCATTTTGAAGTGGCTCAAGGGACGCTGGGAGCCCAATTTCAGGTCCTCCTCCAGGGATAGAGAAGGGACCTTGGGCTGGAACGAGAGCACAGCAGGGAGGGCGTTTGCCTTGCACGCAGCCGACCCGGGTTCGATCCCTGATATCCCATAGGGTCCCCCGAGCACTGCCAGGAGGGATTCCTGAGTGCAGAGCCAGGAGTCAGCCCTGAGCATCACCGGGTGTGACCCAAAACACACACACACACACACACACACACACACACACACACACACACAGAAAGCAAGCCAGGAGGCCCGGTCTGTGGGGTGCTTTCCTGGAAGCCAGGTAGACAGGGAAGCTGGGGGCCCCTGGACATGGGGTCACGTGACTCTGCCCTGGAAGCTGAGCCGGCCGCAGCCGCTGCTCTGGGCCCTCAGGCCGGCCGGGTAATTTTCCACAGGGCGAGGTGGGAGGGCACCTGCCCCGGCCAGCCCTGCTGTCTCCTGGAGGAAGGGACAGACCCTGCGGTGGGCTCAGGGCGGGGTGGGGCTGATGGCAACCCCCGAGCTGGCCCCGCGCAGACCCCCGGCCGTGGGCGGGGGCCTGGCCACCGGCCCCCCACCCCCAGGTCCCAAAGACCCACTGGGCTGAGAAAGTCAGAGTTTCCTGACTCTGACCCAGAGGCTGATTGCACCCCAAGCTCTTTGCTGGGTTGTTTTGGGGGCGCCCGGGGCGTCCACTCCCGTGACACTCGGCCAGGCAGCCAGCTGGCTCAATGCTGGGGACCAGGGGTTGTGGGAATCCCAGTCCTGTCCTGTGGGCTCACTGCCAGGCGTGTACCCTCCAGGCCCTAGAGGCTCTTTTGTGGCTTCTCATGTCCCTGGCCCCTGACAACATCCCATGTCCCTTGAACATGGCCCCTGGCCCGTGACCACGTCCCCCAAACCCTGACCAAATCAGGGTCTGCCTCGGGAGAGGGAGGACGGAGAGGCAGAGCTGGACCCAGAAGAAGCAGCCTTGGGGATGCCAAACCCCCGCCCCCGACACACACACACACACACACACACACACACAGGCCCTGGGTCGTCTCCCCACCTCTGGGCGCAGCGCCTGCCCTGCCCACAGCTGCCCCCTTTCCTGGAATCACAGCCCTGCACGGCCCTCAGGGGCAGCCCTGGGGGACTGCTCGGGGCTGGGGACATGCCTGTCGCAGCCTCTCTGGGGCACCCTCTGCTCTGCCCCTGGCCAGGAAGTGGCCCTGTGCTCCTTGGTGCAAGCCTCCAGCCCCGACTGCGTCCCCCAGCTCTGACCACACATGACCCCTGACCATGTCCCCCGGCCCCTGACAACAACCCATGTCCCGTGGCCCCTGACCACATCTCACAACCCCCATCCACATGCCATGGCCCCTGACTGTGTCCCCTGACCCTAAGCACGTCCCACGGTTCCCGAACTGACCACGTCTCACGCCACAGTTCCTGCAAACAAGGAGGGTGGTCATAGATGAGGGTCATCTGGGGGCATCTAGGAGGGCATGGCCCAGGTGACCCCTACAGGATGGACCCGCCATGGGCACTTGCTCTCACGAGTCCGTGTCGGGACCCAGGGGGAGAGAAGAGGCAGGGGCTGAGCCTCGGGGAGCCCCCAACCCTTCCGGGGCTGAGCCAGACCCCTGCTTCCCCCCGATACATAGCTGTGTGCCGCTACCCACTGGGCATGTCCGGTGGCCAAATTCCCGATGAGGACATCACGGCCTCCAGCCAGTGGTCGGACTCCACGGCCGCCAAGTACGGCAGGTGAGCGGGGGCTTGGGGCCGCGGGGCCGGGGGTCCGAGCGCGGGAGAGCCAGGAGCCCAGCCCGCCGTGTCCCCCACCCTCAAGGCTGGACTCGGAGGAGGGCGACGGCGCCTGGTGCCCCGAGGTGCCCGTGGAGCCCCAGAACCTGAAGGAGTTCCTGCAGATCGACCTCCGGGAACTGCATTTCATCACGCTGGTGGGCACCCAGGGCCGCCACGCCGGCGGCCACGGCATCGAGTTCGCCCCCAAGTACAAGATCAACTACAGCCGCGACGGCTCACGTTGGATCTCCTGGCGGAACCGGCAGGGGAAGCAGGTGTGTGTGTGTGTTGGGGGGATGCTGACCCGCATCCCGTCCCGTCCCGTCCAGCGGGGTGGGCCCCGTCGCTCAGCCCCTGCTCCCCCCAGGTACTGGACGGGAACAGCAACCCCTACGACATCTTCCTCAAGGACCTGGAGCCGCCCATCGTGGCCCGCCTCGTGCGTTTCGTGCCGGTCACCGACCACTCCATGAACGTGTGCATGAGGGTCGAGCTGTACGGCTGCCTGTGGCTCGGTGGGCGCCGGGCAGGGGGCGGGAGATGGTGGGGGGGGGAGGTGGGAGGATGGGAGAGATGGCAGAGATGGAGAGACAGCAGAGATGGGGAGAGACGGCAGAGATTGGGGGAGAGACAGGGAGACGAGGTGAGAGGTGCAGAGGGGGGGAAGGGCGGGAGGGACAGAGGGAGACTTGGCAGCCTCCAGGTGTGGGGTGTGCGGGGTCACACGGACGACCCCCAGGGCACCAGGCCCTTGTCCCGAGCGCTGCCCGTGTCCCCGCAGATGGCCTGGTGTCCTACAACGCCCCGGCTGGCCAGCAGCTCGTGCTCCCTGGGGGCTCCGTCATTTACCTGAATGACTCAGTCTACGACGGGGCCGTCGGGTACAGGTGAGCCGGGGACTGGGGCCCGGGTCAGTGCGTGGTCAGTGCACAGTGTGCAGCCAGTATGGTCAGTGTAGTGTGAGGCCAGTGCATGGTCATTGTGCAGCCAGTGTGTGGTCAGTGCGTGGTCAGTGTGCAGCCAGGGTGTGGCCAGTGCGCGGTCAGTACGCAGTCAGGGTGTGGTCAGTGTGTGATCGTTGTGCGGTCAGTGCACGGTCAGTGTGGTATTTGGTCTGTGCATGGTCAGTACGCAGTTAGTGCACAGGGTGCGGTCAGTATGTGGTCAGCACAGGTCAATGCATGGTCAAGCACAGGTCAGTGTGTGGTCAGCACAGGTCAGTACGTGGTCAGCACACCATCCGTGTGTGGTCAGCACATGGTCAGTGCGTGGTCAGTACACAATCTCAGTACATAGTATGTGGTCAGCGCGAGGTCAGCACGTGGCCAGTGTGTGGTCAATACAATGTCATCTGCGAACACCCTTTGCCGTGCACCCACATTCAAACAGGCGCCTGGGGCCGGGCCATGGCCTCGCCTTCCACCCCTGGGCTGCAGGATCGCGAGCACTATCAGGGGGGACTCACCCCCTCTCTTCACCTCTCCCTGGCGAGTCTGTACAGTCCCCTCCTTAGGCCCCTTCTGATAGGCCGCGAGTTCTTACAGGTGCCTCCTGATAGGCTACGAGTCCTTACCGGTACCCCTGATAGGCTGCGTGTCTCTACAGGCCCCGCCTCCTGGTAGGCTGTGTGCTTATAGGTCCCTTCTGATAGGCCGCGTGTCCGTGCAGGCCCCGCCTCCCGGTAGGTCGTGTGCTTACAGGCCCCCCTCCTGATAGGCTGCGTATCTGTCAGGCTCCTCCGGATAGGCTTCATGTCGTCAGGCCCCGCCTCCTGATACCCACATGTCATCAGGCCCCGCCTCCTGATACCCACGTGTCTGTAAGGCCTCCTCCTGATAGGCTGCGAGTCTGTACAGGCCCCCTCCTCAGGTCCCTTCTGATAGGCCGTGAGTCCTTACAGGTCCCTCCTGATAGGCTGTGTGCTTACAGGCCCCTCCTGATAGGCTACGAGTCCTTACAGGTGCTTCCTGATAGGCTTCGTGTCTGTGCAGGTCCCGCCTGATAGACTGCGAGTCCTTATAGGTCCCCCTGATAGGCTGCGGGTCTCTACAGGCCCCTCCTCCTGATAGGCTGTGTGCTCCCTCCTGATAGGCCGCGTGTCTGTGCAGGCCCCGCCTCCCAATAGGCCGTGTGCTTACAGACCCCTCCTGATAGGCTCCGTGTCGTCAGGCCCCGCCTCCCGATACCCACGTGTCTGTAAGGTCCCCTCCTGATAGGCCGCGTGTCATCAGGCCCCGCCCCCGTACCCACGTGTCCGCCAGGCCCCGCCTCCCCGTGCCAGGTGTCGGTCAGGCCGCTCCGGGTCAGGCCCCTCCCACTACCCGCGTGTCCGCGGGCTGATGCGCGCGTGTCCCGCAGCATGACCGAGGGCCTGGGCCAGCTCACGGACGGCGTGTCGGGGCTGGACGACTTCGCGCAGACGCACGAGTACCACGCGTGGCCGGGCTACGACTACGTGGGCTGGCGCAACGCGAGCGCGCAGGGCGGCTTCGTGGAGATCACCTTCGAGTTCGACCGCGTGCGCAACTTCACGGCCATGAAGGTGGGCGGGGTGGACGCGGGGGTGGGCGCGAGAGTGGACGCGGGAGAGTGGGTGCACCCGAGTGGGCACTCCCCAGGATGGCCCCGAGTGGACACTCCCAGGGCCCTGCAGGCCGTGGTCACCCTGGCCAATAGCCCCTAGCGGACACTCCCCCAGGCCCCGGGGGTCCCAGCCACCTCGACCTGCAGCCCAAGTGGACATGCCCATGGCAGCCCCTAGCGGACACTCCCCCAGGCCCTGGGGGTCCCAGACACCTTGACCTGCAGCCCGAGTGGACATGCCCATGGCTGCCCCTAGCGGACACTCCCCCAGGCCCCGGGGGTCCCAGCCACCTCGACCTGCAGCCCGAGTGGACATGCCCATGGCAGCCCCTAGCGGACACTCGCCCAGGCCCCGGGGGTCCCAGCCACCTCGACCTGCAGCCCGAGTGGACATGCCCATGGCTGCCCCTAGCGGACACTCGCCCAGGCCCCGGGGGTCCCAGCCACCTCGACCTGCAGCCCGAGTGGACATGCCCATGGCTGCCCCTAGCGGACACTCGCCCAGGCCCCGGGGGTCCCAGCCACCTCGACCTGCAGCCCGAGTGGACATGCCCATGGCTGCCCCTAGCGGACACTCGCCCAGGCCCCGGGGGTCCCAGCCACCTCGACCTGCAGCCCGAGTGGACATGCCCATGGCTGCCCCTAGCGGACACTCCCCCAGGCCCCGGGGGTCCCAGACACCTCGACCTGCAGCCCGAGTGGACATGCCCATGGCAGCCCCTAGTGGACACTCCCAGGGCCCTGCAGGCCGTGGTCACCCTGGCCAATAGCCCCTAGCGGACACTCGCCCAGGCCCCGGGGGTCCCAGACACCGCGACCTGCAGCCCGAGTGGACATGCCCATGGCAGCCCCTAGTGGACACTCCCAGGGCCCTGCAGGCCGTGGTCACCCTGGCCAATAGCCCCTAGCGGACACTCCCCCAGGCCCCGGGGGTCCCAGACACCTCGACCTGCAGCCCGAGTGGACATGCCCATGGCAGCCCCTAGCGGACACTCCCCCAGGCCCCGGGGGTCCCAGCTACCTCGACCTGCAGCCCAAGTGGACATGTCCATGGCAGCCCCTAGTGGACACTCCCAGCGTCCTGCAGGCCGTGGTCACCCTGGCCAAAAGCCCCTAGTGGACACTCCCCAGGCCCCGGGGGTCCAAGCCACCTTGACCTGCAGTCCGAGTGGACATGCCCATGGCAGCCCCTAGCGGACACTCCCCGGGGCCTCGCCGACCGTGGCCACCCTGGCTGGCAGCCCTGAGTAGATGCGCCTGTGGCCCGGGGAAGTCCTCCAGGTCCCTGAAGTCGGGGTGCAGATGAGCTTTTAAGGTCCAGCCTTGGTGCAGTGGACAGGGCAGCTGCCTCGCTCCCGGTGACCAGTCCCTGGCACCCCCCTCCCAAGGTCCCGAGCTCACCGTGACCCTGCTCGTCCCCCCAGGTGCACTGCAACAACATGTTCGCCAAGGGCGTGAAGACCTTCCGGGAGGTGCACTGCTTCTTCCGCTCGGACGCGGGCGAGTGGGAGCCCAACGCCGTGTCCTTCCCGCTCGTCCTGGACAGCGTGAACCCCAGCGCCCGCTTCGTCACCGTGCCCCTGCAGCACCGCATGGCCAGCGCCATCAAGTGCCAGTACCACTTCGCCGACGCCTGGCTTATGTTCAGCGAGGTCACCTTCCAGTCAGGTGGGCAGCGGGGCCGGCAGGCGGGCAGGGCTGGGGCCGCCCTGACCCCGCATGGCAGACGGGCCCGCCTAGGGACCCCACACAGGGCACACAGGGAACCCCACGCTTGACCACACAGGGACCTTTCCACTGACCACACAGGGACCCCCACACTGACCACACAGGGACCCTCACACTGACCAAACAAGGACCCCGCAGTGGGCACACAGGGGCCCCTACACTGACCAAACAGGGACCCCTACACTGACCACACAGGGACCCATACAGTGACCACACAGGGGCCCTCACACTGACCACACAGGGACCCTCACACTGACCACACAGGGACCCTCACACTGACCACACAGGGACCCCCACACTGACCACACAGGGACCCTCACACTGACCACACAGGGACCCTCACACTGACCACACAGGGACCCCCACACTGACCACACAACATCGTCACACTGAACACACATGGACCCCCACACTGACCACACAGGGACCCATATAGTGACCACACAGGGGCCCCTACACTGACCACACAGGGACCCTCACACTGACCACACAGGGACCCCACACTGACCACACAAGGACCCCACACTGACCACACAGGGACCCACACAGTGACCACACAGGGGCCCCTACACTGACCACACAACATTGTCACACTGACCACACAGGGACCCACACACACACACTGACCACACAGGGACCTCCACACTGATCACACAGAGACCCACACAATGACCACACAGGGACCCTCACACTGACCACACAGGGACCCCCACACTGACCACACAGGGACCCTCACACTGACCACACAGGGACCCCCACACTGACCACACAGGGACCCTCACACTGACCACACAGGGACCCCCACACTGACCACACAGGGACCCCACAGTGGGCACACAGGGACCCCACACTGACCACACAGGGACCCCACACTGACCACACAGGGGCCCCTACACTGACCACACAGGGACCCACACAGTGACCACACAGAGAACCCCCCACACTGACCACAAAGGGACCCTCACACTGACCACACAGGGACCCCCTCCACACTGACCACACAGGGATCCCCACACTGACCACATAGGGACCCCTACACTGACCACACAGGGACCCCACACTGACCACACAGGGACCCACACAGTGACCACACAGGGACCCCACACACACTGACCACACAGGGACCCTCACACTGACCACACAGGGACCCCGCAGTGGGCACACAGGGACCCCACACACACTGACCACACAGGGACCCTCACACTGACCACACAGGGACCCCACAGTGGGCACACAGGGACCCCACACTGACCACACAGGGACCCCACACTGACCACACAGGGACCCCTATACTGACCACACAGGGACCCCCAAACTGACCACACAGAGACCCCCCCACACTGACCACACAGGGACCCCTACACTGACCACACAGGAGCTCCCCGTCTGAGCGCACAGGGACACCCATAGTGACCACAGCTGCCCCTGCCTCTAGAGACCCCCACACTGACCCACTGACCGCAGCCGCCCCTGCCCTTGGAGCCCTCCACCTCCCCCATTCCCGCTTGTCCTTCTCTGACCAGATGCCGCCAGGTACAACACCTCCGGGGCGCTGCCCACCTCGGCCGGGGCGCCCAGCACCTACGGTGAGTCTGCGTCCTTGAAAGCAGAGGGGGTGCGGGGGGTCTGCGGGGGCAGGAGGGCGGGTAGGAGTGGACAGGGCCTTGCACACGGCCGACTTGGGTGCCCCAGTGGTCCCCCAGGGCACGGCCGAGAGTCTTCCCTGAGCACAGAGTCAGGAGTCCGCCCTGACCACAGAGCAGGGAGTGACCCCGAGCATCGCTGGGGTGGCCCAGAGACACCCGCACGAATCAAAAAGCAGCAGAAAGAAAAGACGGGAAGACTTTTTGCTGGGAAGGGTGGACGGTCCAGGGCCGGTGGACCGCGGGGGTCCCGGCCCACCGCTGACCGCCGCCCGCCCCGCCCCGCCAGACCCCATGCTGAAGGCGGACGACAGCAACACGCGGGTCCTCATCGGCTGCCTGGTGGCCATCATCTTCATCCTGCTGGCCATCATCGTCATCATCCTCTGGCGGCAGTTCTGGCAGAAGATGCTGGAGAAGGTGGGCGGCCCGGGGGGCGGCGGGCGGGGCCGGGCCCCCGTCCACTCCAACGCGCCCGTCCCCTGCCGCCCCGCAGGCGTCCCGGCGCATGCTGGACGACGAGCTGACCGTCAGCCTGTCGCTGCCCAGCGAGGCCAGCTCCACGCAGCGCCGCGCGTCCCCGGCCAGCGAGCGGGATTCCACGTCCACCTACGAGCGCATCTTCCCGCTGCGGCCCGACTACCAGGAGCCGTCCAGGCTCATCCGACGGCTGCCCGAGTTCGCGCCCGCGGAGGACGAGGCAGGTGAGAGGGACGCCCGGGCAGGGCCGGCCCCCCACCCCTGGCCCCCCGGGGGCCGCAGCCGCCCCCCGGACACTCGCTCGTCTCCCCAGGCGGGGGGGAAGCCGGCCCTGCCCGCCGGGCCCGAGGGGGCGCCCCCACTACGCCGAGGCGGACATCATCAACCTCCAGGGCGTGACCGGGGGCAACACCTACTCGGTGCCCGCCGTGGCCATGGACCTGCTGGCCGGCAAGGACGCGGCGCTGGCCGAGTTCCCCCGCGAGCTGCTGGCCTTCAAGGAGAAGCTGGGCGAGGGCCAGTTCGGGGAGGTGAGCGGGGGGCGGGGGGGGCCCACGGGGGACAGGGCGGGGGCAGCGTCCCCTGGAGGGTGGAGGCAGAGGCGGGGGCCGGTGGGCACCCCGGGGAAACGCCCCCCCCCCGGGACTGACCCGGGGACAGAGCCGGCCCCCGCCCCCACCCCCGCCCAGGTCCACCTCTGCGAAGTGGACGGCATGGACAAGTTCGCGGACAAGGACTTCGCCCTGGACGTCAGCGCCAGCCAGCCCGTGCCCGTGGCCGTGAAGATGCTGCGGGCGGACGCCAACAAGAACGCCAGGTGTGGGGCGCCCCGGCCCCGCCCCCCTCGCCCCTGCCTGCCCCCACCCCCTCCCGGCCCCCCTCAGCCCTCCCTGGCACCCTCACCCCTGCCTGCCTGCCCTGTCCCTCCCTCCCCCCTCACCCCTACCTGCCTGTCCCCTCCCTCTCCCTGCACTCCTCCCCCCTCCCTGGCTCCCTCCCTCTACCCCTCACCCCTGCCTCCCCCCATCCTCCTTCCGCTCCCTGCCCCCTCTCCCTCTCGGCCCCCCTCAGCCCTCCCCACCTCTCCCTCTCCCTTCCCCCCTCACCCCTACCTGCCTGTCCCCTCCCTCTCCCTGCCCTCCCTACCCCTCCCCCTTCTTGCCCCCTCACCCCTGCCTCCCCCCCATCCTCCTTCCGCTCCCTGCCCCCTCTCCCTCTCGGCCCCCCTCAGCCCTCCCCACCCCTCCCTCTCCCTTCCCCCCTCCCCCCTACCTGCCTGTCCCCTCCCTCCCTCTCCCTGCTCTCCTCCCCCTGCCTGTCCCGCCCCTCCCTGTCCCCTCACCCCTCCCTGCCCCCCTCCCTTCCCCCCTCGCCCCTGCCTGCTGTCCCACCCCCCCCCCCCCGTACCCTCTCCCCACCCCCCACGCCCTCCCCCTTGCCCTGCCCCCTCACCCACCCTGCCCCCCTCCCCCTCTCCCTGCCCGGCCCTGCGGGTCTCTGAGGGGAGGGAGGCCGGTGGGGGTCCTGCCACATCCGTCTCCCTGCCCGGAAGGAACGACTTCCTGAAGGAGATCAAGATCATGGCGCGGCTGAAGGACCCCAACATCATCCGGCTGCTGGCCGTGTGCGTGGCCGAGGACCCGCTGTGCATGGTCACCGAGTACATGGAGAACGGGGACCTCAACCAGTTCCTGTCCCGCCACGAGCCCCCCGGCCCCGCCTGCAGCTCTGCCACCGTCAGGTACCGCCCGGGCCTGCTCCCGGCTCGGCCCGGCCGTGGGTGGGCTCCGGGGGGACAGGGGCCGGCGGCCGAGGCGCCGCGAGCTGGTCACAGCGTCAGGGATCCTCAGAGTCGGAGTCGCAGAGACGGAGCCACTGTGGGGACAAGGGAAGCCGCTAGAGACGGTCCGGGGGCTGCGGATCTCAGGGACTCGCCTGTGTGCACCCCAGGACCACAGAGGGACCAGACCCCTGCCGGGACAGCCCTGAGCACAGAGCCTGGAGTCAGCCTTGAGTACAGAGCTGGGTGTGAGCCCTGAGCACAGAGCCGGGAGTGATTCCTGAGCACAGAGCTGGGAGTGAGCCCTGAGCACAGAGCCGGGAGTCAGCCCCAAGCACAGAGCCAGGAGTCAGCCCCGAGCACAGAGCCAGGAGTCACCCTTGAGTACAGAGCTGGGTGTGAGCCCTGAGCACAGAGCCGGGAGTCAGCCCCAAGCACAGAGCCAGGAGTCAGCCCCGAGCACAGAGCCAGGAGTCAGCCATGAGCACAGAGCCGGGGGTCAGCCCTGAGCACAGAGCCGGGAGTCAGCCTTGAGTACAGAGCTGGGTGTGAGCCCTGAGCACAGAGCTGGGAGTGATTCCTGAGCACAGAGCTGGGAGTGAGCCCTGAGCACAGGGCCGGGAGTCAGCCCCGAGCACAGAGCCAGGAGTCAGCCCTGAGCACAGAGCCAGGAGTCAGCACTGAACACTGAACAGGGAGTGATCCATGAGCACAGAGCCGGGAGTCAGCCCTGAGCACAGAGCCAGGAGTCAGCCCAGAGTCCTGCAGGTGGCCCCAAACCAGGGCCCGGGGACAGTATTGGCAGTGGGAACGCCCCCACGCGCAGACCCGGCCCTCTGGCCGCCCTGACCCCGAGTCCTTCCGCCCGTCCCGCCCGCCCAGCTACGCTGACCTCAAGTTCATGGCCACCCAGATCGCCTCGGGCATGAAGTACCTGTCGTCCCTCAACTTCGTCCACCGCGACCTGGCCACGCGCAACTGCCTGGTGGGCCGGAACCACACCATCAAGATCGCCGACTTCGGCATGAGCCGGAACCTGTACAGCGGCCACTACTACCGCATCCAGGGCCGGGCCGTGCTGCCCATCCGCTGGATGTCCTGGGAGAGCATCCTGCTGGTAGCGCGCCCGCCCGCCCGTCCCATCTTGTCCCCGTCCTGTCCCCTCCCCTCCCCGTTCCTTCCTCATCCCGTCCCCACCCTCATCCCCGCGTCCTGGCGCCTTCGGGCGCGTGTGGGCTTCGGGCCGCCCCCTGCCCACGGCCCCCGAGCGGCCGCGGGGTCCCCGCCCGGCCCGGCTGACTCGGCGCCCCCCGCAGGGCAAGTTCACCACGGCCAGCGACGTGTGGGCCTTCGGGGTGACCCTGTGGGAGATGCTGACCTTCTGCCAGGAGCAGCCCTACTCGCAGCTGTCGGACGAGCAGGTCATCGAGAACACGGGCGAGTTCTTCCGCGACCAGGGCCGCCAGGTGCCGCGGGGCCGCGGGACGGAGGGAGCAGACCCTGCCGGGGTGGGGGGCTCAGCCTGGCCCGCCGAGACGGGCCCTGGGCGGGTGCGGGGTGCTGCTGCTTTGCAGGGAGAGCCAGGCACAGCGGGCGTATGGCTGTGGGGGGCAGGCCCGGGTTGGGCCCCAGCACCCCAGAGGGGCCCCTGAACCCCGCCAGGAGTGATGGCTGAGCACAGAGCAGGGAGTGAGCCCCGAGCACGGAGGCAGGAGTCAGCCCTGAGCACGGAGGCAGGAGTCAGCCCTGAGCACGGAGGCAGGAGTCAGTCCTGAGCACAGAGTTGGGAGTCCTGAGCACAGCCAGGAGTCAGCTCTGAACAGAGCTTGGAGAGCCCTGAGCACAGAGTCGGGAGTCAGCCCTGAGCACTGAACCAGGAGTCAGCCCTGAGCACTGAGGCAGGAGTCAGCCCTGAGCATGGAGCTGGGAGTGACTTCTGAGCACAGAGCCACGAGTGAGCCTTGAGCACAGCCAGGAGTCAGCTCTGAACAGAGCTAGGAGAGCCCTGAGCACAGAGCCAGGATTGAGCCCTGAGCACAGAGCTGGGAGTGGTTCCTGGGCACAGAGTCAGGAGTCAGCCCTGAACACAGAGCCGGGAGTGAGCCCTGAGCACAGAGCCGGGAGTCAGCCCCGAGCGCTGAGCCAGGAGTCAGCCCTGAGCACAGAGCTAGGAGTCAGCCCTGAGCACAGAGCTAGGAGTCAGCCCTGAGCACAGAGCTAGGAGTCAGCCCTGAGCACAGAACTAGGAGTCAGCCCTGACTACAGAGCCAGGGGTTAGCACTGAACACACAGCCAGGAGTGATCGCTGGGCATAGAGCTGGGAGCGAGCCCTGAGCACAGAGTCAGGAGTCAACCCCGAGCACAGATCCGGGAGTCAGCCCCGAGCACGGGCAGCTGTCGCCTCAGAGCAAGCCATCGGTGGACTCCCAGGGCCACGGAGCAGTCGGCGCCCCGCTCCGTGGCCCCTCTGCCTGCTTCCCTTTGGCCGGGGTGCGAGCGCTGGGGTCTCGCCTCCCGGCCCGCCCTGACGCGCCCGTCCCGCGCAGACCTACCTCCCGCAGCCGGCCGTGTGCCCCGACGCGCTCTACGCACTCCTGCTCAGCTGCTGGCAACGGGAGGCCAAGCACCGCCCGTCCTTCCAGGAACTGCACCTGCTCCTGCTGCAGGGCCCCGAGTGACGCCCCCACGCGCGCCCGCCGCCCCGCAGAGACGCGCGCCCGGCGCGTTTCCACGAAAGGACTCCGAAGAAGCGACAATCCCGAACTTGGGGCTGCAGCCGGGGGGCCGGGCGGGAGCTGGACGCGGGTCCGGGCCGGGCGCTGCTGGAGACGGCGGGCGCGTCCCTCCCCGCGCCGGACACCTCGCGGGAGGATGGTCAGGAGGATGCGAGGAGCCCGGCCCGGGCGGCGGGTCCAGCCGGATTCCCGCCCGGACCCGCCTCTCCCGGTCTCCGCTTCCCCTGCTCCATCCGTCCAGCGCTGCCCACGGAAGGAATCGGCGCGTGTCCGTGGAGACCCCCAGCAGGCGTGGCCAGAGGGGGCCGCTGCCCCTCCTGCCTCTCCTTCCCCCCCTGACCCCACTCACCCTCAGAGACCCCCAGCACGGGGAGAGGCGGGCACTTGCCACGGATTGTGGCTACCCAGCAGTGCAGACGGCCCCATCCTGTGTGGCCCGCGGGCCTCTATACACCCCCGGCCCGGAGGGACAATTCTCACGGCCACAGCAACGACCCCCGGGCCCCCCTTTCTGTGCCGGGTGGGGGCCGCTGCTTCCTGGGGCGCGGAGAACCCCGTGGGGCCCCGTGTCCAGCTGCCTTGGATCCACGCACCGACGGTCACAAAGTGGGTGGTACCACGGTGTGGCCAGCAGAGCCCACGGGAGTCGCTGAAGGGACTCAGACCCGAGCAGAGGGGCTAGCAGTGTGGAAAGGGAGCCCGGGAGGGTGACCCGGGGTCCGAGGCCATGTTTTGGGGGACCCCGCGGCGGGGAAGGCTGCAGAGGCAGGTGTGGGAAGGTGGGGTGGCCGGGCAGAGGGGGACCAGAGCGACCTGGGGATGTTCGAGCAGGCAGACGTGGACGTGGCTGCGGGCCTGGGGGTGTCCGGGAGAGAGCAGAGCCGTGTGGGCGTCTGCGTTTCGAGAGACGCCGAGGGTGCAGTGGTTTCCGTGGAACATTCCACAACGGAAGGAACATTCCTGAATCCGGACGAGGAAGTGGCACCGGGGGCTGCCGGAGCGTGGGGGTCTTCGCCCCCGAGGCCACCGCGCGTCTGGTCGTGGACCCGGCAGTCGACTGGCAGGAAAGGCAAAGGTCCCGCAGTGTTGCCCGGAGAAGCTTCCAGATGGTTCCAATTGGGCCGACACAGCTGACTGTCTTTGCCACCCTGCCCCGGAGCAGAGACCCGTGACGGGAACTCGGGCCGGGTTCCCAGTGGTGACTCCTTCCTCCCTAACTTCTCAGTTTGCAGTGACTTTTGACACCAAAAGTGGCCGAACTCTTCCAGAGGGACCTTGTCCCTCATCTCCAGCCACAGTTCCTACGTCCGTTTCTCAACTTCAGAAAAGCCGACTCCGGGATCAAAACAGTGCCCAGGACAAGCTGTTCCTTCTCCTTTACTTCTGGAAACCTCCAGCTCTGCGGGGGGGGGAGGCACCCGATGTCCTTGTCTTTGTGGATCCTGCAGACCCTGCGAATCGGGGAGCAGTGAGCGGGGGGCTTGGGGGGGGCGGTGCTGGCAGCTGGGGAGTCACTGACTCGCTTTCAGATGGTGTTTGCAGAGTCCTGCGGGGTGAGTGACTCCCGGACACTCACGATCGTCATGTGGGGTGTGCGCGTGGGCCGGAAGGTTCCGGGGCTCACGGGGCCGCCACGGAGAGGCTCTTCAGATGGGGGGATACAGGAGCAAGTGGCCGAGGGGAGTGGCAGTGTGTGTGTCTGTGGGTGTGTGTGCAGAGCTGGGAGAGACCCGCTGTCTCCTGTAGCCCCTTGGTCCGGGAGCCCCTGCAGGTGGGGGGAGTGGGGTGGAGAACTGGGGTTCTCCGGAGCTGACACAGTTGCAGAGGAAGGAGGAGCCCCAGAGGCTGGGGTTAGGTAAGGTGGAAAGCTTAGGAGTCGCCAAAGCGTTTTGGTGTTCTGGGGGAGCTTGGCGGGTCCCTGGGGCAGACACGTCGTGTTGGCAGTCCAGACCGTTCCCCTGTGTCATCGTCGGTGGGATGCCCCGTTCTTGACTCCACTGGGGGCTCCTGGCTTCTCCCTGGCGCCGAGTCCCCCTGCCCCCCCCACTCCCATGCCGGGGTTGGCCACCAGCCTGCACGGGGTGGGGGGGCTGTGTCCAGGCTTCATCTCTGCCCCCCCCACTGCCGTCGCCCCCCGACACGGGACGGGTCCGCGGTCTCTGTATTCGCGAGTCACGAGTCCCCACTGTGTAATTTTATTTATTCCCTGAAGGACGAACGCTGTAAATACCGATGATTAAAAGAAGCACACCGCGGACCCACGCGTCTTTCTTTTGTGCCCGCCGTGCCGGGTGTGGGCCCCCCACGGGCTCACGCCCAGGGTCCTCGCGACAAAACCTGGGGAGAGTCGAGGGGTGTGATGGGGGCCGTGGTGGGCCATCCCCCACCTCCATGGGGCTTGCGTACATCTCTGGGCCACTCGCAGGTTGGACTATTACGAGGCTTGTCCTGGAACTCTGGTCCTGAGTAAATTGGCCTGGAGGGTGGCGGGGGAAAGGGGAGTCCTTTAAAGCTGCTCTGTCCTTCCCCCCAAAGGTGGCAGGCCTGCCTCCGGACCACACCCCAGAAAGCATCACACAGCCAGCAGAGCAGGGCTGGAAGCAGCCGGAGTCGGAGAGAGCTGCTCCCATCCGCCTACTGTCCACAGATAAACAGTTTCCCATCACCGGTCCCAAGAGTTGGGGGACTCGGGATGCCTTTAGCGACCTTGTGTCCACCCCTGGACAGTCCAGACGCTGTCAGAGGCAGCAGGGCCGGGGCTCAAGGGCTTCAGGGACAGGCACGTTTATTGAGAGGCCACGAAGGTGTCATGGTTCCTTAGGAAACGGGTGTTCAGATACCCAGAGTCTGCCCTGCCACTTAAAGTGTGTTGCGGCAAATGCAGACTCGGCTCGATGAAGTTATCAAAGCGTCTCAGTCCCAAGCCCAAAGTGGGGGAGACCTGATGCCACATCACTCAGGGGTCCTCGCTCTTGGTGGGTAAGGACAGCCCAAAAGGCCCGCAGAGAAACGCATATTCAGGCCAGAGCGATAGCACAGCGGAGAGGGCGTCTGCCTGGCAGGCAGCCGACCCAGGTTCGATCCCCGGCATCCCAGAGGGTTCCCCAAGCACCGCCAGGAGTGATTCCTGAGTTGGAGTCAGGGGTCAGCCCTGAGCATCGCTGGGTGGGACCCAAAAAGAAAAAAAGAAAACGCATGTTCAATAGAGTTTAGACCAGAAACGGCAGCAGTTGGCTGTCCACCAGCGCAGTGTTAAGTAGAGAAACTCAGAGGAAATCTTTATGGAAGAGAACGTGGAGATGTGAACCACGATAATTAAAAAAAAAAAGTTGAAACTTAAAAAAAAAGTCTGCTTTTTTTAAGAAAAACTTTTTCTAGTATTTTTTTTTTTTCTGGCAGGCTTAGAAAAATAAAATCTTTTTTTTTTTCTGGCAGGCTTAGAAAAATAAAATCTTTTTTTTTTTTTTTTCTGGCAGGCTTAGAAAAATAAAATAGGGCTTGGGAAGCAGGAGGGATGGCCCAGTGGGTAGGGCACTAGCCTTGCGCCTGACCTGGATATGGTTCCCTGAGTGGCCTGCTGTGCCCCCCACGACCCCCAAAAGGGAGAGCAGCAGGAGGCCAGAGGTGTTCCAGTTCTTTACCCATAAGGGTGCATGAACCTGAGATTCTCTGATTGCAAATTAAAAAAAAATAAAAATTAATACTCCAAATTAAAAAAAAATCAGACTCCTAATTAAAAAAAAAAATCGGTCACTCTATATGAAGCCCCTCCTAAAAAATCAAAGTTTGCTTTTCCCAAGACGAGCCTTCAGAGAGGCGATGGGTCTGCAGGGGGCTGGGAAGCCCCCCGGACCCATAAACGCCCCAAATTCCCACTCTTGCCAGCGCGCTTCCGGGATGGGCGTGGCTCCCGCGCGCCGCGCGCCAGGGCCGCCTCGGATTGGCTTGACGCGGCGACGTCCCGCCCTCGGCCTAGCTCACGCCATGCCCCCGGATGGAGGGCTGCGATTGGAGGAGACGCGAGGAGGCGGGGCGCGGAGCGGGAGGGCGTGGCTAAGGGCGTGGCGAAAGCCCCTGGCGGGTGGCGCTGATTGGGCGGAGGGCGTGGCCCGAGTCTCTGATTGGACGGAGGGCGCCGGGGCGGGGCGGGGCGGGGCGGGGCGGAACGCGGCGCGGTCGGGGTCTTAGGCGCCCTGGACGCGCGGGGCTGTGCCGAGCTGAGTCGTGGACATGCGGAAGGTGGTGCTGGTCACCGGGGCGACCAGGTGAGGCCTCTGGGCTTGAGGACGGGTCCCCGAGTTTGCATTAGGCGGGACGATCCCCGGGAGAGGCGTCCCTCCCCACCCGCGCCCTTCCCACCTCTGGTCACCGCGGACCTGAGCTCCTGACCCCGTCCCCGCGACTGGCCGTGCACCCTGGACTGCGGTGACCAGCGCCAGCCCCGCCGCGGCTCTGCCAGAGGTCCCCAGAGCCGCGGGGATTATTATGATTATTTCTTCCTGCCCATGATTATTTATTTTTTTTTCTCCTCGGCGCTTTCTGGCACCGCGGGGTGGACAGACCCCACCGTGGACCGCCGGTGGCCACGTGCCGGGGAGACAGGGGTGGTGGCAAGCGTGGTTAAGGAGTGAGTTTGTGCCGAGAGCTGGAAAGCTCGGAGAGGAGTGAGTTTGCAGGTGCCTGGCCCGGCCTGGGCGATTGGACTCTGGCTCTGCCTCTGGGGGTCATCTGCAGTGCCCTGGCCACGGTCCGACCCCTGGACTCTCCCTGGTGCCCGGCGACATTGACGCTGTCTGTGCTTCCTTGGTGCCCTGGGCCCCTGTCCACGCTTCTCTTGGCTGCCCGGAGCTGCCCGCCCTCACTCAAAGTGCATTAGTTCTTGGAAACTAGGAACTTCTGGCACCCTTGATCAGGTTCTCCTTATTTTCCTCCTGACTTTTCAAGGCTCTGCTTTTTCTGGGAACACATCTGGCCGTGCTCAGGGCGGACTCCTGGCTCTGTGCTCAGGGCTACCTCCTGGCAGGGCTGGCTGCGGGTGGAGCCCAGGGTGTGGGGGAGGCCAGGAAGGTTTCTTTTGTGCAGTGCCAAGGGTTAAACCCAGAGCCTCACACTTTCTTTTTCTTTATTTTTTGGCTTTTTGGGTCCCACCTGGTGATGCTCAGGGCTGACTTCTGGCTCTGCACTCAGGAATCTCTCCTGGCGGTGCTCGGGGGACCCTATGGAATGCTGGGAATCGAACCCAGGTCGGCCGCATGCAAGGCAAATGCCCTACCTGCTGTGCTATCGCTCCAGCCAGCCCCCAGGGTTCTTGTTTTTGTTTTGTTTTATTGCTTTTTGGGTCACACCTGGTGATGCTCAGGGCTGACTCCTGGCTCTGCACTCAGGAATCACTCCTGGCGGTGCTCAGGGGGACCCTGTGGGATGCCGGGGATCGAACCCGGGTCGGCCGTGTGCAAGGCAAACACCCTCCCCGCTGTCCTGTCGCTCCAGCCCCAGCCTCCCACTTTCACAGGCAAGTGAACCCAAGGCCGAGTTCTTTCCTTCTCATCTGGGTAAGGGAGCGTGTAGACGCCGCCTTGTCACCTGAGCACCTGCTCTGGGGTTTCAGAGCTGGGTGCCAGGCCCCGCTCTCTCTGCATCTCCCGTCTTGCGTGTCCCCTGGAGCTCTCCGTCATCCTGCTGAGTCCTCCCTCGCCTGGAGGGGAGCGTGCACCTGCCAGGTGACTGGTGTCTCTGCATGATTCACCCTGTCCTTCCCAGGGATCTTGGCCAGGCTGTCATAATAGCCCCGGCAGGACCCTGGGACAGAGCCAGATGGGTCCCCAGCCCCATACTCACCCACGGGCCACAGCAGACACCTGTTTCCCTAGAGGGGCTGCTGCCGCAGGACTTAATCTTAATGCCTCATTAGCGGGTCTGACTCTGTGCAGGACGCCAGGAAGCGTGGTGGACTGCAGGGCCCGTGCTGGGCGCTCAGGACAAGCCAGAGGAAACTGCAGGATCCAGACTGGTCCTGAGCACGCGGCCCTCGGGCGGGCGCTCCCTCGAGGCGGTGGGGTTTTTGTTCGTTGGGGGGCACACCTAGCAGTGCTCAGGGCTTCCGCCTGCCTCCTCGGAGACCACCCCCGCTGGGGCTGGGGGACCCTGTGCCTTGCTGGGAGATGCGACCCAGGTGCAGAGTTTAGATCCTGTACTAGTTCTCTGCACCCTTGGCAGAGCTGTTTTCTCTTGGCTCTCTGCCTGCCCTCAAGGGACTGGAGTGACCCCACCTGGCCCCGTCCCTCAGTCACTGATCCAGCGCCTGGCCCCGCCTATCAGACATTGACCCAGCCCCCTGGTCCCGCCCCAACCATGTAGCCCCGCCCACTCACCCTTCTGGCCCCGCCCCCAGCACCTACCTCTGCCCCTACAACCCTTGGGCTGCTGCAGTCCCGGCTCCGCCCCTCAGCACTAGCCCCGCCCAGTATCCTCTGACTCACCCCAGTTCCTGGTTCTGCCCTCTCAGTCCCACCCTCTGGCCCTGTTCATTCCTGGCTCCTCCCCTTAAGCCCTCTAACCCCACCCATTTTCCTCTGACCCTGACCCCACAGCACTAGCCCCCCCAATCCCGCTCTGGCCCTGCCTCATTCCGGGTTCTACCGCTTCGTCACTCTAGCCCTGCTCAGCATCCCTCTGACCCAGCCCCTCAGCACTAGCCCCCTCCAGTACTTCTCTGGCCCCGCCTCCGTAACAACACTAGCCCCGCCCAGCAGCCCTCTGGCCACGCCCCTTAAGCACTCTAGCCCCTCCCCGTTTCCTCCTGGCCCCGCCCCATCACTAGCCCTACCCAGTGTCTCTTGGGCCCCGCCCTAGCCCTGGCTCCGCCCCTTCAGTACTCTAGCCCCACCCAACATCCCTTAGGCTTCCCCAGCTCCTGGCCACGCCCCTCAGCACTAGCCCCGCCCTGTACCTCTCTGGTCCCTCCTCCTTAAAGTAGCCCCGCCCAGTGTCCTTTGGTCCCGCCCCCTTAAGCACTAAAGCCCCTCCCAGTTTCCTTCTGGCCCCTCCCCTGAACCCCTATCACTAGCCCCACCCAGTATCCCTCGGCCCCGCCCCAGCTCTGGCTCCGCCCCTTCAGTACTCTAACCCCACCTAACATCCCTTAGGCTTCCCCAGCTCCTGGCTTAGCACCCTCAGCACTAGTCCCGCCCAGCATCCCTCTGGCCCCGCCCCTCGGCACTGGACCCGCCCAGTACCTCTCTGGACCCGCCTCCTTAACACTAGCCCCGCCCAGCATCCTTTGGCCCCGCCCCTTGAGCACTCTAGTCCCTCCCGGTTTCCTTCTGGCCCCGCCCTTGCACCCGCCCCCCAGCACTAGCCCCACCCAGTATCCCTCGGCCCCGCCCCAGCCCTGGCTCCGCCCCTTTGGCACTCTAGCACCGGCCAGTACGCCTCTGGCTTCCCCAGGCCCTGGCTTGGCACCCTCAGCACTAGTCCCGAGGTCCCGCCTTAACAGTAGCCCCGCCCAGTATTCCTCTGGCCCCGCCCCTCAGCGCTAGCCCCGCCCAGTACCTCTCTGGCTCCGCCCCCTGATTCTCCTGTCTGGACTGTCCACAGCGGCGTGGGCCTTGCCCTCTGCAATCGGCTGCTGGCGGAAAACTCGGAGCTTCGGCTGTGCTTGGCATGCCGGAACCCGGGCAAGGCGGCCTCCGTCCGGGCCGAGCTGCTGGCCAGGTACCCGGCCGCAGAGGTCAGCAGCGTGCAGGTGGACGTCAGTGACCTGCGCTCCGTGCTGCGGGCGGCCGAGACGCTCCGGCGCAGGTAGGCGCGGGCGGTGCTGTGAGGGCTCCTTACGCGCATGCTCAAGGGCCGGTGAGTGAGGCCAGACCCCCCTCCTGCATCCTGCATCCTGCCTGGGTGTGTGTGTGTGTGTGTGTGTGTGTATGTGTGTATGTGAGTGTATGTGTGAGCGAGTGTGTGTGTGTGTGTGCGAATGTGTATGTCTGAACAAGTATATGTGTGCATGTGTGTGTATGTGTGTATGAGTGTGTGCATGTGTTTCCGTGTGTATGAGTGTGTGAGTGTGTGTTTGTGTGTATGAGTGAATGTATGAGTGTATTTGTGTGTGTGTGAGCACTTCAGCCCTCCCTAGTGGCCTGTGGGGGGCTCTGGCCACTCTCTGGCCCCGCGGCTGACCCGGCCGGCCGCTCTTCTGGCAGGTTCCAGCGGATCGACTGTGTGTTCCTCAACGCGGGCGTCATGCCCAACCCCAGGCTGGACGTGCGGGCCCTGGTCTCCAGCATCTTCTCCAGGTACCCGGGGGCCGGATCCCCCCTCCCGTGGCCCGTGACCCCTGCCCTGTCCTCGGGGGTGCCGGGAGCCCTGGGCAGGGCAGCAGGTGGGCTGCCCGCCGAGGTGGTCTCGGGGCTCCTAGAGGGGCAGGGTCGGGGGGTGGGGGCCCAGCCGGAAGCTGAGGCGCCCTCGTGGCCCCCCCTCCCCCCAGGAAGGTCATCTCTGTGTTCAGCACGGCCGAGGGGCTGCTGACCCAGGAGGAGAAGGTCACGGCCGACGGGCTGCGGGAGGTCTTCGAGACCAACGTCTTCGGCCACTTCGTCCTGGTGAGACTCGGGCCCCTGTGGTGTGTGTTGTGTTGTGTGTGTGTGGTGTGTGTGGTGAGGCTCGGGCTCCTCTGGTTCGGTTTTGGGGCGCATCTGGCAGTGCTCAGGGTCACTCTGTGCCCAGGAGCCTCCCCTGGCAGTGCTCGGGGCCCACTCCTGGCTCTGCGCTCAGTCCTGGCTCTGGCGGTGCTCGGGGGACCCTTCGGGATGCCGGGGATTGAACCCGGGTCGGCCGTGTGCCAGGCCGACGCCCTCCCCGCTGGGCTATCACTCCGGCACCTTGTTCTGTGTTTTTTTCCCTTCTAGATTTTGAAGCTCAGGGTTCCCTCCCAGCCAGGGGGGCCCTTTGGGGGCCCTGCGTGGGGAGCAGACCCCGGCCTCCCCCCGCCCTCGGCCCTGGCGTGACCGTGTGTGGGCCCAGCGGAGGCCAGTGAGGCGACTGGTCCGGCCGGTGGGCTTGCGGGGGCCCGTGGGCGGGTGCCTGCCGCCCGCCCCCGTCTGCTCACTGGGGACCGTGTGTGCCCGCGTGGGCGCCCGGGCCCTGTGCTGACGCCGCGCGTGTCCCCAGGTGCGGGAGCTGCAGGCGCAGCTGTGCGGCGGGGACGGGCCGGCCCGGCTCATCTGGACGTCGTCCCGCAACGCCCGCAGGTCCAACTTCAGCCTGGACGACATCCAGCACAGCCGCGGCCGCGAGCCCTACAGCTCGTCCAAGTTCGCCATCGACCTGCTCAGCCTGGCGCTCAACCGCCACTTCAACCAGCAGGTGGGCGTGCGTGAGCGTGTGCGTGTGTCTGTGTGTGTGTGTCTGTGTGTGTGTCTGTGTGTCTGTGTGTCTGTGTGTTGTGCCTGTATGTCTGTGTGTGTCTGCGTGTGTTTGTGTCTGTGTCTGCGTGTGTTTGTGTCTCTGTGTGTGTGTCTGTGTGTGTCTGTGTATCTGTGTGTCTGTGTGTCTGTGTGTGTCTGCGTGTGTTTGTGTCTGTGTCTGCCTGTGTGTCTGTGTGTGTCTGCATGTGTTTGTGTCTGTGTCTGCGTGTGTTTGTGTCTCTGTGTGTATGTGTCTGTGTGTTGTGTCTGTGTGTCTGAGTGTGTCTGTGTGTGGGTGTGCATCTGTTTATCTCCGTGTGTCTCTGTGTCTATGGGTGTCTGTGTGTCTGTGTGTGTGTCTGTGTGTCTGTGTGTCTGTGTGTTGTGTCTGTGTGTTGTGCCTGTGTGTCTGTGTGTGTCTGCGTGTGTTTGTGTCTGTGTCTGCATGTGTTTGTGTCTATGTATGTGTCTGTGTTTGTGTCTGTATGTTGTGTCTGTGTGTCTGTGTGTGTCTGTGTGTGGGTGTGCGTCTGTTTATCTCTGTGTGTTTCTGTGTGTATGTGACTGTGTGCGTGTATATGCCTCTGTGTGTCTGTGTGTGTCTGCGTGTGTTTGTGTCTGTGTCTGCGTGTGTCTGCGTGTGTTTGTGTCTGCATGTGTTTGTGTCTCTGTGTGTCTGTGTCTGTGTTTGTGTCTGTGTGTTGTGTCTGTGTGTCTGAGTGTGTCTGTGTGTCTGTGTGTGGGTGTGCATCTGTTTATCTCTGTGTGTCTCCGTGTCTGTGTGTGAGTATGTGTCTGTGGGTGTGTGCGGTGTGTGTGTGTGTTTGTGTGCGTGTATGTGTCTGCATGTGTGTCTATGTGTGTGTCTGTGTGTGTGTCTATGTATCTGTGTGTTGTGCCTGTGTGTGTCTGTCTATATGTGTGTCTGTGTGTGTCTGCATGTGTTTGTGTCTATGTATGTGTCTGTGTTTGTGTCTGTATGTTGTGTCTGTGTGTCTGTGTGTGTCTGTGTGTGGGTGTGTGTCTGTTTATCTCTGTGTGTTTCTGTGTGTCTGTGTCTGTGTGTTTCTGTGTGTATGTGACTGTGTGCGTGTATGTGCCTGTGTGTGTCTGTGTGTGTCTGCGTGTGTTTGTGTCTCTGTGTGTATGTGTCCGTGTTTGTGTCTGTGTGTTGTGTCTGTGTGTCTGAGTGTGTCTGTGTGTCTGTGTGTGGGTGTGCATATGTTTATCTCTGTGTGTCTCTGTGTCTGTGTGTATGTGTCTATGGGTGTGTGTGTGTCTGTGTTTGTGTGTCTGTGTGAGTGTGTGTCTCTGCGTGTGTGTGTGTGCATGTCTGTGTATGTCAGTGCATGTATGTGTCTGTGTATGTGACTGTGTGCGTGTATGTGTCTGTGTTGTGTCTGTGTGTGTTTGTGTCTGTGTGTGTGCATATGTCTGTGTGTCTGTGTGTCTCTGTGTGTGGGTATGTATCTGTTTGTCTCTGTGTGTCTCTGTGTATCTGTGTCTGTGGGTGTGCATCTGTTTATCTCTGTGTGTCTCTGTGTCTGTGTGTGAGTATGTGTCTGTGGGTGTGTGTGTGTCTGTGTCTGTGTGTCTGTGTGAGTGTGTGTGCGTGTGTGCATGTCTGTGTATATCAGTGCGTGTGTGTGTGTCTGTGTGTATGTGACTGTGTGTGTATGTGTTTGTGTGTGTCTGCGTGTGTTTGTGTCTGTGTGTGTGTGTCTGTGTCTGTGTGTCTCTGTGTGTGTCTGTGCATGTGTGTGTGTCTGTGTATCTGTGTTGTGCCTGTGTGTGTGCGTCTGTTTGTCTCTGTGTGTCTGTGTGTGTGTGTGTCTGTGTGTGCGTGTGTCTCTGCATGTGTGTGCGTCTCTCGTGGCCGTGGTGACGCATCTGTCCACTCCCAGGGCCTGTACTCCAGTGTGGCCTGCCCGGGCACCATGATGACCAACATGACCTTCGGCATCCTCCCGCCGCTGATCTGGAAGCTGCTGCTGCCTGTCATCTGGCTGGTGAGGACACCCTGCCGCGGCCACTCGCCTGGCTGTGCTCGGGGCTGACTCCCGGCTTTGTGCTCGGGGCTGACTCCCGGCTCTGTGCTCGGGGCTGACTCCCGGCTCTGTGCTCGGGGCTGACTCCCGGCTCTGTGGGATGCAGGGGATGGCACTCGGGCTGGCCGGGTGCAGGGCAAACACCCTCCCCGCTGTGCATCACTGCGGCCCCGGGGGTGGGGGGTTTCGACCCCTGGATGAGGAGGTTGAAGGTCGCGCTCAAGCCCTGATTCCCTCTCCGCAGTTACGCTTCTTCGCCAACGCGTTCACGCTGACGCCCCCCAACGGGACGGAAGCGCTGGTGAGTTCTGGGTGGTCTCCCCCCCTCTCCCCCCCACCTCCCACTGCCCAGCCCAGGCAGCCCCGGGGTGTGGCCAAGTCCCCGCTGCTGGGGGCGCTTCCCTGGGGGTCGCTGGCCGTGGTTTGCCCCCCAAGGGGGTGTCTGACTCTCAGGGCACAGTCGGGGCCCAGGAGCAGGAAGCATCCAGGAAGCCGGTTCTGTTGGGCCCGGGGAGCCCGCGGCTGGGGCAGCGTCAGGCGGGCCCGGGGGGTTCTGCCGACCCAGTGGCCCCCGCCCCTCAGAGCAGCACCCGAATGACCTGGAGCCCTGGGCGGTCCAGCCCCGCCCACCCCCGGGACCCAAAGCCTCCTGTCCGGCAGGGGCCTCAGTGTCCACGGGGGTCAGTGCGTCGGGAAGGACACAGCCAGCCCAGCTGTTCTCCCAGAGTCCCCGTAAGCTCATGCGGTCACTGGGGGTCACGGGGAGACCCCGACTGTCTGGGAGTAGCGGGGTGGGGGCGGGGCCAGAAGAAAACCGGGAGGGGCTAGAGTGCTTAAGGGGCGGGGCCAAAGGGAGCTGGGCGGGGCTACTGTTAAGGAGGAGGGGCCAGAGAGGTACTGGGCGGGTCTAGTGCTGAGGGGCGGGGCCAGGAGCTGGGGAAATCCAAGGGATGTTGGGTGGGGCAAGAGTACCAAAGGGGCGGAGCCAGGGCTGGGGCGGGGCCGAGGGATACTGGGTGGGGCTAGTGCTGGGGGCGGGTTTAGGGGCGGGGCCAGAAGGAAACTGGGAGGGGCTAGAGTGCTTAAGGGGCGGGGCCAAATGACGCTGGGCGGGGCTACTGTTAGGGAGGAGGGACCAGAGAGGTACTGGGCGGGGCTAGTGCTGAGGGGCGTGGCCAGAGGGATGCTGGGCGGGACTAGTGCTGAGGGTGCTAAGCCAGGAGCTGGGGAAGTCTAAGGGATGTTGGGTGGGGTTTAGAGTACTGAAGGGGCGGAGCCAGGGCTGGGGCGGGGCCGAGGGATACTGGGTGGGGCTAGTGATGGGGGTTCAGGGGAGGGGCCAGAAGGAAACCGGGAGGGGCTTTAGAACTTAAGGGACGGGGCCAAAGGACGCTGGGCGGGGCTACTGTTAGGGAGGAGGGGCCAGAGAGATACTGGGCGGGGCTAGTGCTGAGGGGCGGGGCCAGAGGGATGCTGGGCGGGACTAGTGCTGAGGGTGCTAAGCCAGGGCCTGGGGAGGCCAGAGGCGTACTGGGCAGCGCTAGAGTACCAAAGGGGCGGAGCCAGGGCTGGGGCGGGGCCGAGGGATACAGGGTGGGGCTAGTGATGGAGGTTCAGGGGCGGGGCCAGAAGGAAACCGGGAGGGACTAGAGTGCTCAAGGGGCGGGACCAAAGGATGCTGGGCGGGGCTACTGTTAAGGAGGAGGGGCCAGAGAGGCCAGAGAGGCAATGGGCGGGGCTAGTGCTGAGGGGCGGGGCCAGAGGAATACTGGGCGGGGCTACTGTTAAGGCGGGACCAGAGAGGTACTGGGCGGGGCTAGTGCTGAGGGGCGGGGCCAGAGGAATACTGGGCGGGGCTACTGTTAAGGCGGGACCAGAGAGGTACTGGGCGGGGCTAGTGGTGAGGGGCGGGGCCAGAGGAATACTGGGCGGGGCTACTGTTAAGGCGGGACCAGAAAGGTACTGGGCGGGGCTAGTGCTGAGGGGTGGGGCCAGAGGATACTGGGCGGGGCTACTGTTAAGGCGGGACCAGAGAGGTACTGGGCGGGGCTAGTGCTGAGGGGCGTGGCCAGAGGAATACTGGGCGGGACTAGTGCTGAGGGTGCCAAGCCAGGGCCTGGGGAGGCCAGAGGCGTACTGGCCGGTGCTAGAGTACCAAAGGGGCGGAGCCAGGGCTGGGGCGGGGCCGAGGGATACTGGGTGGGGCTAGTGATGGGGGTTCAGGGGAGGGGCCAGAAGGAAGCTGGGAGGGGCTTCAGTGCTTAAGGGGCGGAGCCAGGTCTGGGGCGGGGCCAAGGGACACTGGGTGGGGGACCGTGGGCTCTGGTCTTAACCGCGCTGACCCGGGTTCTAGCCCCGCACAGAGCCGGAGTCAGCCTGTGCCCTGACTGCTGGCCTGGCGGGGTGGAGGGGGGCGGGGGGGTCTCTGCCGCGCTGGCCCCGGTCAGTGACGGCCTCACCCCTGCAGGTCTGGCTGTTCCACCAGAAGCCCGAGTCCCTGGACCCGCTCACCAAGTACCTGAGCAACACCACGGGCCTGGGGAGCAACTACGTCGCGCGGCAGAAGGTACAGCCCCGGGCCGGCCCGCCCCACTCACCCCTGCAGCCGCCTTCTTGGCCCCCCCTGCCCTGCCCTGCCCTGCCCTGCCCTGCGGGTGCCCGGCTTGGGGTGGGCAAGGGCAGCTCACAGCCGTCCCCGACGTGTCCACGGCTGGTGCCAAGCTCAGTGCTATGGGGGTCCCGGGGCCCAGCCTCCCCCTCCCGCCTCCGCCCTGCTTTGGTTCCCGGGCGTGGACATGGGGGCAGGACCCCTCGCTGTCCAGCTGTGTCGGGATCGGCGCTCGCTGCCCCCAGCCTCCCAGCGCCCGACTTCTCCCGGGTCCCATCCGCGGAGGGTGCGGGTCTGTGCCGTCCCCTCATGCCCCCTTCCCTGGCTCTCCCGGCCCCCTGTCGCCCGGGTCAGCTCGCCTTCCTGCCCCCCAGATGGACGTCGACGAGGACTCGGCTCAGGCGCTGTACCGAAGTCTCCTGGCATTGGAGCAGCGTGTCAGGGAGGAGCTGGCGCTGGGCCCCGACGGGCAGGGCTGACCGGTCGTGCCCTCTGTGGCGGGTGGCCGTGGGCCTCTGGGCGCCCCCAGACGCTGTGCCGTCCCCTCAGGGACCTGCGGAGAGCCTGGCACCCCGGATAACCCTGGCCGTTCTCAGGACCCCCAACTGCCGGCCCTCCATGTCCAGCCCTGCCCGTTAACTGCTCCCGGCTGCCCCAGGGCGGGCGGGCTGGCCGCGGGTGGCCCCAGGACACTGCTGTCCCTTCGTCCCGTTTCCTGTGTCCCCTCTGGGCGGGAGGGCGGGGCTCCCCAGGAACTGGACACCGCTGCCCGTGCAGGCTAGGGGAGAGTGGCCGGGACGCCCCAGCCGTGCTCTGGGCAGGCGCCACAAACTGGCCGGACAGCCGTCCCCGCGCCAAAGTAAACCCCCGACAGAGCCCGGGCGGGTCGGGTTACAGGGAACCGGACCCGCTGCCCGGTATAGTGGCCAAGCGCAAACAGACTGGACATGGGCAGCCGGGGGGCCGTCCAGGACACACACAGCGCCCAGCGCCCAGCAAGGCCCAGGAACGCGAACTCTCCCCCCCCCGATCTCAGACCGTGATGCGAGCGAGGCCTTCCGCCAACTTCCCGCCCCCCATCAGCGGAAGACCTAGTGGGCAGCTTGGAACAGGGGGGTCCTGGGCAGGGCAGGGCATGGGGGGACCACACACGGACCCCCTCCCCCTTCCGCAGGTTTTGCAAATCAAATTCACCCTTTTGAAAATCGGATTTTGTTTTTCCACCAAATTTCCGTATGCTTTCAATGATACAAGTACACCCACTGGTCACTGAGAGTTGGTACGTGGGGCCAGAACCACAGTACAGCGGGGAGGACGTTTGCCTTGTGGCCAACCTTGGTTCGATCCCCGGCATCCCAAAGGGTCCCCGAGCACTGTCAGGAGTGACCCCCCTGAGCATGGCCAGGTTTGGCTCAAAAATGAATGTAAGCGTGGCGGGGCTGGAGCGATAGCACAGCGGGGAGGGCGCGTGCCCTGCTTACGGCTGACCCGGGTTCGATCCCCAGCACCCTCTGAAGTCCCCCGAGCACTGCTCAGAGTCAGCCCTGAGCTCTGCTAGGTGTTCCCCCCTCAAAAAAAAAAAAAACCAAACCCCACCATGGTGCTAGTGAGAGTACAGTGGGAATGGCACTTGCTTTGCAAGTGAACAACAAGGGGTTCCAGCCCCAGCACCCACTACCTGCAGGAGTGACCCTAAGCACGGCCAGGAGTGAGCCCTGAGCACAGAGCCGGGAGTCAGCCCTGAGCACAGAGCCGGGAGTCAGCCCTGAGCACAGAACCGGGAGTCAGCCCTGAGCACAGAGCCAGGAGTGAGCCCTGAACACAGAGCCAAGAGTCAGTCCTGAGCACAGAGCCGGGAGTCAGCCCTGAGCACAGAGCTGGGAGTCAGCCCCGAGCACAGAGCCAGGAGTCAGCCCTGCGCACAGAGCCGGGAGTCAGCCCTGAGCACAGAGCCGGGAGTCAGCCCTGCGCACAGAACCAGGAGTGAGCCTGAACACAGAGCCAGGAGTAAGCCCTGAGCAGAGAACCAAGCATGAGCCCCGAGCACAGAGCCGGGAGTCATCCTTGAGCACAGAACCGGAAGTCAGTCCTGAGCACAGAGCCGGGAGTCAGCCCTGAGCACAGAGCCAGGAGTCAGCCCTGCGCACAGAACCAGGAGTGAGCCTGAACACAGAGCCGGGAGTAAGCCCTGAGCAGAGAACCAAGCATGAGCCCCGAGCACAGAGCCGGGAGTCATCCTTGAGCACAGAACCGGAAGTCAGTCCTGAGCACAGAGCCCCCTTGCGTGTCAGCCTTGTCCTGTTGCAGACAGAACCCCCTGGAGCTTCATGGCCTCCCAAACGCTTCCTCGCCGGAGGCAGTGCCAGCCCAGATTTTATTTCTCGCTGGTTTTATTCCTAATAACCTCCAGCCAGTTCTCACTGGGGCTGGGGGCTCCCAGCCGGGCCCCGCCCCTCGCCACCCGCTCCCTCCTGGTGCCCGAAGACCTCTCGGATGCTGAGTGGTCGTTCCCACTCGGGGGGCGCCCGGTGGCGGATGTAGTGGGCCCTGCCCGCCCTGGCCAGCAGCTCAGGGTCCAGGCGGGCGTCGCCCTCCCCGCCGGGGCCTGGGTCCGGGCCGTCACACGACTCGGGGGTCCCACTGGCCTCCGTCCCTGGGGTGGGTGGCTTCTCGGCTGTGCTGTCAGGGGCCGCCGTCTGCTCCTGGGGGTCCGGCTCCAGCGCTGGTGCTTCTCGGGGGCACGCCGGGGCTCTGGGGGCGGCAAGGGTACCTGCGGGTTCCCACAGTCCAGGGGGGGTGTCTGGGCAGGGGGCGAGGGCCTGGGTAGCTCCTACCTCAGGGGTCCGGCCTGTGCGGTGCCGTCCATGTGCTGGGTGCGTTCTGGGGCCTGTCGGGGGTCCGAGTGTCCCGTCCTCCTCATGATCTCTGCTCGGGGAGGGACACGGGTTGGATCCCCCCGCCCCAACTCCAGGTCAAGGGGAGGTGGACACGGGTGGCAGCAGAGGGTGGACAGGCCTCAGGAGGATGCCCCAGGCACCCCCTTGGCCACGGCGCTGGGGTCCTGCAGGGCAGCAGGAAGGGACCCGGGTGCGAGCAGAGGGGCCCGGGCTTGGCCAGGCTCCCTGCAACCGTCGAGTAGGGCTAGGGGTCAAAGGTCTCGTCCTAGTTGTTTTTTTCTTTTTCTTTTTGGTTTTGGGGCCCCGGCATAGGGCCGAGGTGAGGGCCCTGCCTGCTGTCCCCGTCACTTTGTGCCTCGCAGGCGGGGTCTGGAGGGCCAGGGCCAGTGGCTAGCATGGGGTGAGTCCAGCCTCTTGCCCCTGGCCACTGGCTGCCCTTGGACGCCCACCCCTGCCGTGCTGGGTGACCCAGGCAGCGAGTCACCAGGCCAGCACTCTGGGTCCGAGGCTGGACCTGCCCCTGTGGGTCCCTGGGGTCGGCCCCCTGCCAGGCCCTTCTGGCCCCAGGCTCATTCCCTTTCTGGGGGCCCCTGTCGTACTCTGAGCCGGGCTCCCCGAGAGAGGCAGAGTGAAGGGTTAAAGCCGGGCGGGCTCGTGGGGATCACCCAGCCCCGTGAGCTGCTTCTGCAGAGGCAACGGGCCTGTTTGCCCTTTGGCTTAAGACAAAGCCAGGGGCCCGAGCGATAGCACAGCCGGGAGGGCGTTGGCCTTGCACACGCCCGACCCGGGTTCGATCCCCGGCATCCCCTAGGGTCCCCCGAGCACCGCCAGGAGTGATTCCTGAGTGCATGAGCCAGGAGTCAGCCCTGAGCATCGCCGGGTGGGACCCAAAAAGCAAAAGCAAAAAAAAAAAACACAGAGCTAGTGGGGGTCCGTCCACCGGCCTCTCCTCGTACCCCCAAACCCAAGAGCGCTGGGTCTCGTGGGCTGCCCGCCCTGGAACCTTCCGTGCCCTCCCGTCCCCTGGAGCTGCTGGCCAGGGGTGTCTATGGACCGGGCGGGGTCTCCCAAGGCCGGATCCTGTGCAAGGAAGCTCCTGAGGCCTGCCCTGAAGTGGGGGCCGTGGCGGGCGGGAAGCCGGGGTCCCCAGCCCCCTCCCGCCCGCGGGGCCCGCACACACCTTGCAGCCTCCCCAGCTCACGGCGCACCTGCCTCTGCTCCCAGGCCCGCAGCTGTGCGTGCACCAGACGGGCCGTCTCCAGTGCTCGCAGCCTCTGCCCCAGCCTGGCCTCCGCCCGCCGGGCCTCCGCCTGCTCCAGGTCCAGCTGCTGGCGCTGGGGGCAGCGGGCCGTGGCCCTCCCGGGCTGCTGCATGGTCTGGGGGCAGATCTGGGGTGGTCTGAGCCCCCCACCCCCCAGATATGGGGGTCCCCAACACGGGCCCCTCGCCCCCTCCCCTGCAGGCAGCTGGGCAGGGCTGTGGCGGGTGGGGGGCACCAGGCTCTTCCTCCGGGACCCTCAGCGTGGCACCGCGTCGTGTTTGCTCTGCTTCTCCGGGAAACAGCCCTGAGGAATGCGGGCGCCTGGCACGGCCCCAGCGGGCCCTCCCCCTGCAGCCTCTGCCCCTAGGAAGGGGGGTGTGTGGGGGGCACCGGTGCCAGGCAGGAAGGGCGGCGGGCTCTGGGGGCGATGAGGGCGGAGGAGGAGATGGGGGGCAGGAGAGGGGGCTTTTCTCTACAGTCCTGCCGGGTTTGGGGGTCAGCAGCCTGGACAGTGAGGGCAGAGGGGGCAGGTGCTGCCCAGAACCCAGCGAGGAGCGCGCCCCCCGGTGGCAGCTTGGGGGAACTGCAGCTTAGACACCCGCTGGAACCACACGGTACAGCCAGGGCCACCCCCGCTGGCGAGAAGGGCGCCCTCCCGTGGCAGTTCGGGAGAACTGCAACTTAGTGAAAGGTTGGAGAGTCAAGATCTGGCCAGCCACCCCTGCCTTTGCCCCCCATGACCCTGGCTGCCTTGTTCCATTCAGCCCTCCCGCCCCCCCCGTGATCTCTTTCTCACCCCTCACATTTCTCTAAATTTCTTCCAATAAAAACATTTTGCTGAAGAAGTTTATTGAAAATCTGTATTGATAAAAAGACATCATAATCCTTGCATTCAAGTGCCGACGTTGCCAGTATCATTACCATGTTTACCATACAGCCACCAAATTTCACCAAATTTGCCACAGTGTCGCCAAGACCGCCAAGTTCGTGCCACCCCAAACCAAAACGGAAACACCCCCCAAAACAGCAGTGCCAGACTTTACCAAATTCACCATAACAACACCAAATTCACCAGGTTTGTGCCACAGCTAACCAAAACGGAAATATCCCCAAAACAGCAGTGCCAGACTTCGACAAATTTTGCCACAGTGTACCAAATTCACCAAATCGGTGTCACAGCCAACCGAAATCGGAAATATAAAACAGCAGTGCCAAACCTCACCAAATTTTACCACGGTGTGCCAAATTCGCCAGATTTTTGCCACGGCCAACCAAAACAGAAATAGCAAAAATAGCGGTGCCAAACGTCGCCGAATTTGCCATAACGTCACCAAAACTGCCAGATTTGTGCCACAGCCGATCAAAACAGAAATAGCAAAAAAATAGGGATGCCAAACTTCACTGAATGTGCCAGATCACCAAATCAACCAGAACTGTGTCACAGCCAACCAAAATAAATACAAAAAAACAGCAGAGCCAAACTTCACCAGATTTGCCATGGCATCACCAAAGTCACCGGATTTGTGCCACAGCCAACCAAGACCGAACTACCCCAAAAGCACTAGTGCCAAAGTCACCAAATTGGCCATAGCATTGCCAAATTCACCGAATTTGTGCCATAGTCAACCAAAATGGAAATACCCCATAATAGCCACGCCACTAAACTTGCCAGATCATCGCCAAATTCACCATATCGTCACCAAGAGTCATCAAACTTGTGCATGACTTCATTTCATGCCCGACATCATGATTACCATCACCACCAACATGACCATGACCAGCCTCAGACCATGATCACCAGATCACCAGCATGATCTGATCACCAGAGCGTCCCGCCAGCTCCGTCCGCATCACCATGTCACCCTCATCACCGCAACCACATCCCCAACAAAGCTGCCATTTTCACCGCCAAAGCATCATCACCACGGCACCATGCGACAGCTATTCCTGCCACCATCACCACCGCCACAATCGTTGGCACTGCCATCGCTGCCTTAATAACCGTCACCTTTGTCATTCCACCAGCTCAGCCTATCCCAGTGCCCCCCATGAGTGTGACTGATGTGCTGGGGGGGTCCCTCCCCCCATGACGAGTGCCGCTGTGCCGAGACGGGTGCCTGTGTGTCTGGGATGTCCCTGCCCCCTGCCAGGCGTGGGCACTCTGAGCTGAGGGGTGCGGGCGAAGGTCCGTCTTCTTGCTGTCGGGGGGGGTCCCTAAATGGGGCGGCTGCGGGGAGCCAGTTTCTCTGATGATCACTGATGACAGTCCGGTGCTTGCTGGGCTCCAGAACTCTGGGGAGAGAGAGAGAGACAGAGACAGAGAGACAGAGAGAGAGAGAGACACAGCGAGAGATCACTCACAGGCGTTTTGCTGACCGCTGCGTCCCCTGAGCAGAAATGTTCCCAGTGCGGGGGGGGGGGGGGGGGGAACCCCTGGTTCCCAGAGAAAGAGCTTTAACAGCTCCAGGAAAGGTGCTAATTACCTGCCCATTAGAGCAGAGATGTGCTTTCAAAGAGGCAGACTGGGGAAGACCAAGGAGGGGTGGGGGGCAGAGACTTAAAACCAGACCAGAGAGTAGCTCCCCTGTCCCCCGTCCCTCCATGGTGGCGGGACTCCCCCCCTACCCCCAGCACCGTCCGGGAGAGACAGTCAAACGCAAGACACGTCTCTGAAGTTCCATGTTTCATCTTTGGAAAAGCAAGGCTGGAGCAGGGAGGGCATTTGCCTTGCATGAGGCCGACCCAGGGTTCGATTCCCGGCATCCCATAGGGTCCCCCGAGCACCGTCAGGAGTGATTCCTGAGTGCAGAGCCAGGAGGAACCCCTGAGCATCGCCGGGTGGGACCCAAAAAGAAAAATGAAAAAAGCATGTCAAAAATGCCACTGACTTGGGGCTGGAGTGATAGCACAGCGGGGAGGGCGTTTGCCTTGCACGCGGCCGACCCGGGTTCGAATCCCACCATCCCATAGGGTTCCCCCAAGCACGGCCAGGAGTAATTCCTGAGTGCATGAACCAGGAGGAACCCCTGGGCATCGCTGGGTGTGACCCAAAAAAGCAAATAAATAAATAAATAAATAAATAAAAATGCCACTGACCAATTAAGTGGAAACCAACACACACAAACGGGGCTATGTGAAACTAAGAAGTTTCTGCGCCTTTTGAGTGACCAAGATACAGAGAGAACCCACGGAATAAGAAAGAATATTTACCCAATACCCACCTGATAAGAGGCTAATATCCAGGATATAAAAGGCAATAGTGGACATTGTACAAGAAAAAACCCTTCAACCCCATCAAAAAAAAAAATGGGAAAAACAAATGAACAGAAGTTTCTTAAAAAAAAAATGAAATGCAAATGGCCAAAAGGCATGTGAGAAAACGCTCCACGTCGCTAATCACCAGGGAGATGCAGTTCAAAACAACAACGAAATATCATCTCACACCACAGAGACTGGCACACATCAAAAAGACCAAGAATAGGGGCTGGAGCACAGTGGGGAGGGCGTTTGCCTCACATGTGGCCAACCCGGGTTCGATTCCCAGCATCCCATAGGGTCCCCTGAGCACCGCCAGGAATAATTCCTGAGTGCAGAGCCAGGAGGAACCCCTGAGCATCGCCGGGTGTGGTCCAAAAAGCAAAAAAAAAAAAAGACCAAGAATAACCAGTGCTGGCGTGTATGTGGGAAGAAAGGAACTCTCCTTCACCGTTGGCGGAATTGCCGACTGGTCCAGCCTTTTTGGAAAACAATCTGGGCATTCCTTAAAAACTAGAAATCGAGCTTCCATATGACCCAGCAATACCATTTCTGGGAATATACCCCAAGGGTGCAAAAAAACACAGTAGAAATGATATCTGCACCTGTCTGTACATTGCAGCACTGTTCACAATAGCCAGAAACCATAAACAACCCGAGTACCTGAGAACAGACGGCTGGTTAAAGAGACTGTGGTCCATCGACACAATGGAATACTATGCAGCTGTGAGGAGAGATGAAGTCATGAAATTTGCTTATAAGTGGATGGACACGGAGAGTATCATGCCGAGTGAAATGTGTCAGAAAGAGAGGGGCAGACATAGAAGGACTGTACTCATTTGTGGAGTATAAAATTACATAATATGAGACTGACACCCAAGGACAGTAGTGATATCGGCCAGGAGGATTGCTTCATGGTTGGCAGCTGCCTCATGAGCTGGGGGAGAAGGGGGCTGGGATGGAGAAGGGGTCACTGAGTCGGTGATGGTTGGAGGGGTCGCTCGGGGTGGGAGATGGGTCCTGAGAGTAGATCAAGGACCCAACATGATGGCCTCTCAGTGTCTGTATTGCAAACTATGATGCCCCAGAGTAGAGAGAGAGTCTGGGGGAGATTGTCGGCCATGGAGGCAGGGGGAGGGTTGGGATGGGGGGGATACTGGGGACATTGGTGATGGGGAACGTGCACTGGTGGAGGGTTAGATGTTCGACCATTGTATGACTGAAACTCAAACATGAAAGTTTTGTACGGGCTGGAGTGATAGCACAGCGGGTAGGGCACTTGCCTTGCACACGGCCGACCCGGGTTCGATCCCCGGCATCCCATAGGATCCCCCGAGCACCGCCAGGAGTGATTACTGAGTGCAGAGTCAGGAGTCAGCCCTGAGCATCACCAAGTATGACCCCAAAAAAAGGCAAATAAAATAAAATAAAGACAATATTGGGGCCAGAGCGATAGCACAGAGGAGAGGGCATTTGCCTTGCATGTGGCCGACCCGGGTTCGATTCCCAGCATCCCACAGGGTCCCCCGAGCACCGTCAGGAGTAACTCCTGAATGCAGAGCCAGGAGGAACCCCTGAGCATCGCCGGGTGGGACCCCAAAAGAAAAACAATAGAAACAAAAAAACCCCCAACTATGCCTAAAAGTGCCACTCACCCACCTCGTGGGCACCGGGATGGAGACTGCCCGGCCTCGAGCTGGGGCTGGCAGAGCTGGGGAAGGCCGGACCCGCCCCCCGGGAGCAGAACCGAGCGGGGGCAGCAGAGAAGGGGCATCGGGAGCCCCCGGCTCTGCCCTCGGAGGCAGCAGACTCTCCCGTGGCTGGAACTGAGTGTGCCCCGGTCCTCCTGGGAACAGTCCGTGACCTCCAGGGAATGAGTCTCACTTC